TCACCCATGATACTGTGAGGCGTTCACTGCAACACATAATAACCACCAAATACCTCAATAGCATTTTTGTAATCCCATAAAAATCTGAATTTTGTCTTTGTTATTTTAATGTAGGTAGCTCAGACGCCTACAGAGCAATTACATTTACAGCCAACTTATAATGTGTACCAGCGGCCCGACACAGTGGAAACATTTATATGGTATCTGACATATAAAAGAGCAAATCCTATTCCTTTTCATTTGAGGTGGTATTCTCAGCCCTACCCAGAAGCCTTATCAAATAGATGTCTTTTATGGCGTGCCTTGAAGCTATTTTGAACAAAGAGGGGGTGGAAGGAGGAGAAAATTCCGGACCTGAAGCATGTGCCACCTTTTCAGCTTAAAATTCCTTGTCAGTTGACTAGTACAGCAAAATCACAGCCAGAAGTCACTTATCAAAAGTTCTGCTCACCTTGCAGACAAGCTCTGTTAACCCTAAAATTAATGACATCATAAGCTAAAAAACCTTGATATCAAAGATCACCACTGTAAAATATGAATTGGCCAGCGTAATTTCCATAGGAATTCTTGTTTTCCTGCCAAACTGATAACACCAAATATGCTTAGTGCCTTTGAATGGCAAAATTTACATTTTACAATTCAGTCACTGCTGCTGCATGTTTAGATGCATATTAGGCAGGGCACTGTAACAAGTATTGTGAGCTCCTCCAGAGCCACTGCTTGAGGAAGAAGAGTTAAGAAGAACTCAAAGTTTGAGGATTGTTGCTCACTGCCCACCTGCTGGTGACCAACCGACAGTCACCAACAGCCACAGTGTTGGTATTATTCTTGTGAAGTCCTCAAGTCAACTGACTTGCTTGACCTGTTTCTCTTTTAACTCCTGCTGAGTAGCAACTATACTGTCATTGCTATAATGGTTCCTGGCCAACTGTATAGTAGGATTTCCACTGGAGCCATAATTTCTCCTTGTATCAGAGAGTAAAGCTCGTTTCAGCATAAATTATAAACTTATTATAAAAGTAGATGTTAAAAAAGCCTAATTAAGTACTGCAAATGGGAGTGAAGCAAATGGAAGTAGGGGAAAATATGTAAAACCTTTGGTTGTTAGATTTACTTAAAAGCATTTTTATGATTAAATGAGAAATTTGCAGATTCTTGAAGAAACCCTACTTCTATTTGCATTAATGGTAAAATTAATTCTCTTTTAGAACTGAAGTTCTAAGGCATGCATTTTTGGCAATTTTGTGTATCTTAGGAAGATGGGCTTCAATTATATATAAAATAATGAAATATATAATATTATAATTTCTGCAGTCCTGCTTCAAGGCATAAAACTAAGCAAATCACATAATAGAAATCTCCACAAAACCATGAAATGCATCTTGCATATATATTAAATACATACACAATAAATATATCCAACTTGCTTAGTGCTAGAGCAAGAGAGAAATCTACTGGTTCCAGAGATGCACTTTTGGCCATTGTTTCCCTTTTCTGGAGCACATCAGTTGCTTGGTAAAATATAACGTATTGTACTCTGGACTGCTTCTTGGCAATTTGTATTGACTGAGGTATTTATTTAATAATTAATCATCTCCTGAATGAAATGCTTCCACATGTATTTAGCAATGTCTCTGGATGCCTTACATATGCACTACACATTGCTACAAAATGAAAACAGTGGACTGAGACACTCTAATCTTAGGAAAATGCAAACAACAGCAGGATTACATTTTCTTAACTATTTAATTTTCCAAGGAGGAAATAAGATAACTTGACAAACATTTTCAAGGATGGAAAAGCTTTTAAGCTGCAATAGTAGAAGACTAAGTGAAGGGTTCAAACTTCTATGTCAATACAGAACACCAAATTTGGTTTAAGAATATGACTGAATTCGCAATAAAAATACAGCATCTGTACTTCACATAGGAAACACTTATAATCCCCAAAGTTAGGAGTCTGTATAAAGGAAAATAGTGATTCCAATAATCAGAATCTGTGATGCTGGTGCCATGAGCAGGAAGAACATTAAAATGGAATTGATACTCCCTCCCCTCTTTTCTATATTCTACAGTTAGCATCCTATTATATATAGTTGAACTATCTGAGTTGACAGTTCCTAGTCCATGGACACAGATTGGGCCCATTTGCCTAGCTCAGAGGCAGCGCTGTGCAGTTTTCCTGAGAGAGGGAGCACTGCAGGGCATGCACTATGCACTCCAACATCTGCTAGATCAAGTAGGGTCAGAGCTGACCTGGAGGTAATAATACTGCCAGATCCAGGGCGGCTCTCTGCTGAGACACCAGGTTAGCTATTTGCCGCCTTTCATCAACACATCCCTGACACCTAGGTATCTCAATTAGCCCCGGTGTTGCACGCTCCGCTTTTTAATACCCTAGATAACCCTCTACAGTGCTGAACATACACAGGTCAATCAGAGTGCTTGAGGCCTGAAAAATGACGAGTATAGAAGAGGATATGTCCTCTTCTTAGCAGTGCTACCAACCCTAAGGCCCGAGCAGTGTCCCCAAGAGCACTGCCTACAGACCTTTCTGCTATGTGCCATGTTTCATTCAGTACAGCAGTTCCACCGTACAGACACTTGACAGACGATGACTGCCCCTTTCCTAACACAGACATGCATTTTCTGGGGTTTCCATTAACAACTCTCATATTATTTCTTGGAGTATGTAGTCTGGCATGAAAACACCACAGCCTATCGCTGAGATACTGAGGGGGAAAAAACTCAGAACATACCCCCACAAAAAAACCCCAAACTCAGACAAAACCAAGCACAAACCCCGCTTTGTCCTTTGCTGAATATAACCAGTCTACACAGAGGCGAGTGTAACTTCTGAGGCCATGATTTGTAACACAGCCCCCTGTTTACAAAGATGTAACAGAAATAGCTCTGTTTGTCATAGCAGAACGCACATTTATTAATCCCTACAGTCAACACATCACATGCCAATTAACAAAAGCACAGAAGAGACTTGTCATTTCCATTCCTTAAACTACCCAGAAAACCCACTACTCATATGAAAAAAAAAATCTCCTCAAAGAGCTGTGTGTCCACGAACAGTCAGATCAATGTCATCTTAGCACTGAAGCAAGAAGATAAATCTACCTCTCTAGGTGAAGCATAGTCAAAAAGCTGACCCTTTATGAAAAAAAAAAAAGTGTTTTAAACAAGAGGGAAGAGGAGGGACGAAGAGGAGAAGGAAGAAAAAGAAGGAAAAATGTGAAAAAAATCTGAATGTAAAATGCATGTTTTCTAGAGGAGTCTTTTTTTTTTTCCCTTCCCATAAGACTAGGTCTCCTGGATACTCTAATAAATGGATTTTGATCATAATTTACTACATTACCAACTACAAATTGGCCTTACACATTAGAGTTTCTCACATCAATCCCTTCTACGAAGACATTAGTACAGACAAATTGCTCAGGAGGTAATCCATTCACACTGGGAAACACATTATCCCATAACAATATCCACAGAGCAAAGCTGTTACAATGTAAATATCTACTGTGTAATACAAATCCTTTAAAAAATAAGAATCTTGCTGAATCAAGACTTAGGTTATGATCATGTTCCTTAAAAGTACCATTTTATTATCAAAATTCAGAGGATCTCACTCTAGATCTCTAACATTTACAAACTTATGTCATTTTATATCTAAGTAGCACCGTTAACCTAAATGGGATTAAAAGAACGTGTTTTCTTATTATTTTGGATACGACTACAAAGGATTAGGGCTACCAATAGCTTATTTCCAGAAACGTAACTGCTCAACCAGTCATAACACAAATTTTCTTAATACTAACATTTTACAAGATTAACAGTTGATATAAGACGTGATCTTCAGAACAAATTGCCATTTAAAAAATAATTCAGTCTTTTTCTTTTGAATAAACTGTGCTTACTGCTCACATGTTAATCTTTTATTCTAAAACACTGAGCATAAGACCTGGTTATTTTGCAAACATAAGGTATCAGTTTTGATATACAAACATCATGGTGACTAACAAAATGGAACATCTCAAAATTCTTGGGTTTATGAGAGCTTCAGCAAAAGAATTCCTATTTTCCTAACAGCTACAGATGTTAGGGACACCAAATGTTTCTGGTGGAAAAAGGAGAGCAGGTTAAGGACAAGACCTTTCCTGTTACAGTAAATGTGTCAAAATAGAGGCCTGTGACCAAATAAAAGACTTTTAAGCCCATACTTCCCCAGAACTCCATAATGACTAATTCCCACTGAACAGAGAAAAGGACAGAAGGACCATCAGTGCTTAGAAAAAAGCATCAGGATGACATCATTGCCTATCTGCTAGCCAGGAAAGGAAGAGAGGGATTATCTGAACAGTGAACATCTGGATTGTGTATATAAAGGCAATGAAGGATTTTTATACATATTAGTTCACTGAGTTCCACTGAATTTTTATCTTACAAAGAAACAGTAGTGCTACGATACGCTTTTATAATGAAAAAGCAACAGGAATTCCAGTGGTCTGGGTTAGTGTATTAAAAGATACACAAACAGATTTATCATTCACTACCTCTTTACTACACTTAATTGAAAAAAAATAAGATACTTGAACTTATAAATTTTTCTTCTCAGGATAAAACAGTGTAGTTTGGTAACAATGGTTTTCTTTTTTCTGTTAGGGTTTCAGATACAAAGATTGTAAGTGACATGATTCTGATCACACTGAAGTTCAAAACATATTCAGTCTTCCATCCCAGTACTGTAAAGACCGCTTACAAAAGAATCCTACATCTGAAGTGCTTCAATTTCTTAAGAATACAACTTAAACCAAATTTATATTTTTGCTTTTTTTTTTGTTTTGCAACACAGCATAGAGTTGCTGCATAAGTAGCAACTCTACCAGTTGTGTATAGACTCAAATAGTCTGCATATAGCAACTCTATAAAGTGGCCATGCAAAAAAATCAACTTTATTCTAGGTTAGAATACTATGTAAAGAAACATTCTTACCTTGAACTGTTAGAGTTGCTGATGCTTCAGCTTTTCCAACCATATTTTCTGCAACACAAGTATACGAGCCCATGTCTCCCGCCATAACTTTCCGGATTTTCAAGGTATGATCATCACGGATTTCGTATCTTTAAATATACATAGTTATAAAGAATGAATAGGAATAATAGAACTTTGTACAATTTCTGTAAAGGGTAAAAATATGGTGGGTTTGCTTTCAAATATTTTTTTTCCCACATTTCCCTTAGAAATAAAAATATGTATAAATCCTTATAAATTGGTAATGTAAAAATAAAGTTTTAAAAGCAAAATGTATCTAAATATTTGAAAACCTTATCCTGATTTCATTTGCAATGTGAGTCAGTTTTACTGATGGCAGTAGAATTTCACTGACGTAATACAATCATAAAGCTCTAACGCAGAACGTTTTAATTGTTAGAACTCTTTTAACAAGGAAATGTAATAATAGTTATTATTCTCCTTATAATTCTTCCATCTGAATGAAGGATTTTTTCTTATGTGGATGAAAAGAAAATACTGTTCTCAAGAAGATCAGAATTGCTTGAAAGTCAAGATAAATCACAATTCTTTCAATAATTTTTTTAAAGAACAATGTGGCCTTTTACCATTTCCTCTCCTTTCATCACCTTTTTTCTCTTCTCTGTATAATGCAGTCAATGTGTTTCTTTTTATGGGAAGTAGATTTTTCTCTTAAAAATGCTATAGTTTTGATTAAAGCTATTTGATTAAAGCTATCTAAAGACTAGATTAACAGGAAGCTGTATTTGGATGACCGGAGCCAATTGGTACAGGGTTTCTTCTTTCAATCCCCTCCTATAATAGGTTTTTAACTGATGATTGGGAATTCAAAGTAAATAAATAAATAATCCATCTACCATAGAATGTATTTCTTTTTAATAAGGTGTTTTATTTTTTGGCCTGCATTAGAGCAATGACAGAAAAAAAAAAATTAATTGGAAACTTAGTAACAAAAACATGTATAACCAAGGCAGCTTTCTACATTACCAGACTACATTTTATATCAATTGCAATTCCAATACATTCTTCTTGATATTGTAATTTAATTTACTACTTGTTATACATTCTCCAAAACTTTTCGTAATTACAAAAGACTTTTCAGGTGAAGAATTAATCTGTATCAGATATTACTGACTGAACTTAGTTATTTTTTGTTGTATTTGTCATATGTTGTCACCACAAAAGCTTAAGAACAAGCTGTTCTTAAGTTTCAATATAAATTATAACTTCAAACAGAGCTCAACGGTATTAGAAATGTCTTGTTAGATCAGCCAGGCCTTCTCCATTCAAGAAAAAGAAATGCCAGCTGTCAAATGTTGAATGGCTGCATCATATACCAAGCTAGATGTCATAAAAAAGGTAACTCCAGGTACTGCACCTTGCTTTTGGTAATTCCCCATCATCTTTCCTCCATCTTACTGTAGGAACTGGGTCACCTCTTGCCTCACACTTAAACTCTGCACTATCATCCACAGTGACAGCCAAATTACTTGGTCTCTTCACAAAAGATGGTCTCTCTAAAAGGAAAGGAAAGGAAAAAAGGGATTAGTCCAGCAGTTCTGTGCCCGAACTGCGATCTTCCCTGAATTGTGGCTGTTAGAGCAAGGGGAGCAGGGTGACGAATCTGATGAAGGTGCCTCTGCCGCTGCTCTTCTCGCTCCCAGCCCCAGGCAGAAGATCCGTAGCCCTGCAGGAGTCCAGCACTGTGAACCTCAGCACAGAGGCAGATGCTCTCAACAGTGGCTCAGGATCCAAGCACAGATTTCCTTACTTCTTATGTATCATCGTCACAGCTAATATAGCTAAAGGAAAACACAACCTACACAGAAAATCTAAATATGTGTCAATTCTCAGATAGAAGCAGGCCTGCTGCAAGGACCCAGACAAATGATCACACCTCTGCTGCACTGCTTCAAAAAGACGGAAGGCACAAACCAAACATAGTCTCACTGGAGGTTTTGACTCAATGTTGCCTCTAAATTCAAAGGCTAAGTAAGGTCTAGTATAGTATCTCTATGAGGTTGCTTGCAGGTGTCAGCAGCAGCTAGTGTATGATGCAATCATTTCCAATGCTACATTAGAAAGACAACATTTTCTTTCACTAGCACACATAAAATAAAACAAGCCAAAAACCCCCACAATGTCCTCTCTACAATTTTTGTTCACAAAAATTGCTGTTATCCCTGGCTTACACGGTAGGACACGGATGACCCAAGTCCTGGCTGTCCAGAGTCAGATTAATTGCTGCATACTTTTTCTCAGACTTTCTGAAACAAAACGGGTTCTCAGTACAGGCTGTGCTATTCTGGCAACCCAGCTACTAGCTGGAAATTTCAGGAAAGGGATCGGCACACTTTTCTACCTGTAACAGGGTTCAAAGCTTTATGGTGCTGGCCTATTCATAGTTTCGTAGTTCCACGCCAAGGCTGGAGTTCAGTGAGGTCTGCACACGAACAAGGAAGAAAAGTGTTTTTAACAATTTCTGGGATACTCCAGGAAGGATTACCCATCTAGAAAGGCAGGACCAGATGACAACAGGATGTCCATAAAAGAACTGTGAAGGTTTAACAGGAGAGTGCTTGGCAGGTTCCTTTGCCTAAGGCAGATGACCTTTTTGCCTATAAACCTGTGAAAGCTCTAAGGGAGTTGAGAAGGCAGTAGTGTGTTTTGACTTGTATGTATTAAAGATATAAATATCATCTCCCTGGAACTGGAAGAGTCTGAAGCCATTGGCACAATCAGGAAGTGTGAATACCCAAAAATACGCCACAAATTTCTCATAGGAGTAGAAAAGCACCACACAGAAGGATAAAGAGACAATCCCATATTCTTAGTGTCTCACATTTGTGTTTGAAAAAGGTGGTTCCGAATACTACTTTGACTTCGCAGATAAAGATATAGAGATTCAGTATTACGAAACCTCAGTGAATGGTTCAAAAAGGACTGAAGTGGAAATGTGAACTGAACAAAACCCTATAAAAGAGCTTCCTTTACTCTCAAGGATGTCCATACCAACTGGACACTTGTGTTGTAGAAAACTTACCTTTGCAACGCTAGGCAAATAATGTTAGATGAAATAGCAAGTTGATCTTTAAGTTGAAGCCTGGGTTCATATACAAGAAGTGAGAAATAAACCAGAGACCTACAGACATGAATCCGGCTGTGAATTAAAAAATACAAATATAGACATTCCCCCCGCCCCGGCCTATTTCTTGTAGGTGCAGTAAAAACGCAATCTGAATGCAAGAAAAGAATATTTTGGATTAAACTTCAGAGTAAGAATAGTTTGGGGAAGAATATTCAACTTGATTATGCAAGAGAAAAAGGACTGATTTGGTAAGACCAGAATGGCTGCACAACAGCAAAACCCACAAGAGGCACATTGTTCTCTAGATCAGTTTCCCAAAGGAACAGTAATTGTCCGAGGGCTTTTGTCTGCCCATTCATAACACTATTATTCAAACGCATGAACGGATAAGGGAAATCAGCACTGATTTAAGTATCTATCTTTGTCACACGATTATTTGGTAAATACAAGGAAAGCTTAGCAAGGATCACTTTGAAACTTTCTAATACTACAGTTTCTGGCATGCAATCCTCCCTCTGATCTAAAGCAGAGACCTAAAAGCAAAAGTTCAACTTCTAAATAACCATAGTGGATCATAGGAAGTCTTCCTTAGCTTCTAAAAAGTTACACACTATCTTGCTGGATATTCAGTTTCAATACCTTTAAGATGGCATACAATCTCATTTTATTATGGAAAACCCTGCTTCAAATAAAACTCTGAACAGGACTTCAAGTTGCCTGAGTTCTAACTCTAAAAAGTAGTGAGGACAGATAAAAGTGCCAAAGACTGACAAGACAGATCTTAAACCTGAATTAAAAGGGGGGGAAAAAAAAAAAAAAAGCAAGAGCCAGGACTACTGCAGCAGCACTGTCATGGAAACCAGTTTGTTATGAACCATGGCTTGGATATTCTCATCCTGTGATGATAAAATATCTATTCCTTCTGCAGAAACAATTAAGCTATCTCAAGCCTCCCCTACTTTAAAGTAACACGGTACACATTTTGAATGAAAACTACCAAAGCTGCATCTTAAGTGATCATGAGGCAATTCTCCCATGCTGAAGGTATTCTGAGATTGCATTTGGAGTTACAGCTTCTTTTCTGCAAAGCAACAAAAAATGCCATTTTCAGCTAAGCTCAGTTATCTTAAATGAAAACATTTTTTGATGCTCAGAGGAAGTATCATTAGGATCACTTGAACAAGTAGACCTATTGTATCTTTACAACACTCAGTACATACAACTATAAAAGAAAGGATAATTATTTAGAATAGAAATTTAGAATAATTCTGATTTTCTTCAACGAGAGGGAAAAATTAAGCCTCTGCTACTTAGTGATGTTAATTTTTATTTTGCTATTATTTTACAATACTGATCCAGTCAGTGGACACTGGAATTATTTTCAGTTCGAGAACTAAGTAAGAAAGTGTCTTCCGATAGCAAAAACAGTCCAAGGTGGATTGCAAAGACATTAACTGCCACCCATTTGCTAGAACACAACCACGACAAAAACATTTTCAACATAACCACTGAAAAGGAAATAGATGAGAATATCCTTAATAAAAGGCTTACTAGGAAAAACAAAAGTTGGACATTTTCATTAACACAGTCTTAGAGGAGGAGTTCTTACCTAAAACAGTGAGCTCCGCAACTTCGCTTTCACGTTCTCCAACCATATTTGTTCCAACACAAACATATTTGCCAGCATCATTCTTTCTTGTGTATGTGATCATAAGCTTTCCTCCTCTAATCTAGGACAAATCAAGGATAACAAAAAATACTTTAATATGAACTAATGATTTAATAATATTTATTAACTTGAAAAAGGTTTTGTTACAGATAATGAAAAAAAACAAGCGATCAGTCATTTTCCAAATCATACAAAAAAGTGAAAATAATAAAAAATTACTATTAACCTAGTTTTCTTCTCTTATGCAAAAAGCTTGCCTCTTAGTTTCACAACAGTATTTTAAAATCTCTGATTTGGACCCCCGTTACTCCTTTCTTCATTCTGCGTAATGTAATACTGGCTGTTTAACAGCTTGATTAATGCTCGTTGGCCAGAAGGACCACACTTCCTTCCTACGTACTACTGCAGTTTGATATAACCAGGTGGAAAGGAAAAATTAGCACTAGACATAAATCCCATTTTCACATCAAGTGCTGCAATTACTTTTTCTTGACGAGAAATATGTGTACATCATCCTACTGTTGGTCATGCTTGTTATTATTCATGAATTTTGTGTTTGTTTTGGTTTTCATTTCTAAAGGAAGCAAAGGAAATTTTTTATTCCTTAGTTCTTCACCTTTAAATAAGTAATTTTAAAGGCTGATAAGGAGCTGGGCAGAAGCAATTAAATCTTTACTGGGAAATGAATAACATTCTGCCCTTAATTCTGAATTCATTTTTTGGAAAATAATGGAATTCCAATAAACCCAAAATTAGAAAACATTACTTCCCTTTTGTGATTCCAGATCTTATTATTTTATCTAAAAATACATATTAAATGCATATGAAAATAGCTGATCTCCCTTTAAAAGTATTTATTCTCCCACTTGATTGACAAAATGATTGAACAAGTTTCAAAGTTCACCAAAATGCAGCAAAATTTGTGTAGGCAACTGAATATGTACCATGTTTACTTTAATATACGAAAGCATTACTTAATCACATTAATTACATTTTTAAGTGAACATATGCTTGTAAGTCCAATCACATATGAAACCCGCTGCAGTTCAAGGCATGGGTGGAAGTAAACAATAAGTAAAAGCCACATATGAAGCTACATGAAAGGGTCTAATGTGGTCAGTGACAAGGAGGAGAGTGTTCTCAATATGAGGTATTTTGCTCAAGTTGCCTGCAGCTAGAAATCTATCCCTGAAAATTTGACATCTTGAGCAGCACTGGGCTCTTATTATCATTGTAAGATGTACGCACACAAAGATGACAGTCAGTTATTGAGATAAATGAACATGCACATGTAACGTAGATAGTGTTGCATACAAATTTCATTCTGTTGCCTTTGGCGCTCGTTGTTTGAGAACAGAAAAGATATGTCCTTTATCATCCAGGAATCTAGTAATGCTGAAATTTCAATGGGGATTTGAGGCATGAAGAATGAAAAAACAAAGGTGACCTGCAAAAACACATTTTTCAAGAATCTGTGTGCATTTTTAGATGGCTGATGGCCTGAAATGGTAAGCATGAGAAGAAAAAGTAACACATAACTAGAAGTCTATCTATATTTATTCCTTTTTATGTCTCCCTAAATGAAAGAAAGCTATTTATTTCCAATTAATCTATGCAAAGGATTTTAAAAAACAATTTTAGAAATATTTCCACATGTATTTGTGGTATTTGTATATCCAGATATATATGCAGAAATAAATACTTTTGATGTATATTAATATTGAATGCACTGGATTTAACAAATAAATGTATTCATGTATCATAAGAATTTACCAACTCAGCTGATTATTTCAAACCCATGTAAACTGAAAACAGTGATTTTTATACATGTCTTAAGAGCTTAAGTCCTACTGACATTCAGTAGCGCTTGTGTTCCTCTGTGATCTTGGCACTTAAGAAAATCCCATTCAAACTCATTCCAATATGACACAACCATACATTTTGCACAAATTGTAACTTCCAGCAAGAACTATCCTAGGAATTTCTTCTAGGAATCACCACAAGAGTCTTTTCAAAGCATAGATGGAGAGAAGCATTAAAGCAGAAACATTTGAACAACTAAAAAATCATTGAAAGATGCTTTTCTTCCAAGTTATTTGAGATTTACATAAGGAAGGAGAGGCAGAGGAAACATTCCCTCATGGACGTTGAGGCAGACTTCCAAAGACGTGACATGACTACTGAAGGAAGCTGTGCTTCCAAGATGGAATTCTGAATGTATTTGGTTTATTCTTCCTAGGGGTTTTCCTTTATTGATCTTTTTTGTTTCTTTGTTTTCCTTGAAACAGAAGAAGGGTTTAGAACTTCAGCTACAGGGATGGCTATGCCACATTAAATTGTGATGAATTACACAGTTACAATAAAATGTACCACAAGCGCATGTGGAATTACATGTCTGTAACTAGAGCACTCATAGATGCTAGAAGAAAGCGTACTTCCGCTGTTGGGTCACTACCCAAGTTTTCCATTAAATTTTAACAATTAGGTACCTACCATCTCAGTAAGATTGATCAAGCCCTTCTATTAACAAGACATTGCAAATCAAATCTGCAGGTATGACACGTTCTATACGTGCAATGTTTGCCACATTTTCTCTCAATAGGATATGCTAAAAATACATATGGGCTATAGACCAATGGCTTTAACTAACAAAGTACACAATGAAATACATGCGTGTGAATTTTTGTAGGAACACATAAATAATCACTGCTACATTTCTTTGTCTTACTAAGTTAATATGTAGTAATCCAGTACTGTAGTTCATATCCAGTATTTAGAGCAGTAAAGAGCCAAATCGCCTTTGGGGGCAGTATCTGAAATCATGCAAATTAGAACTATTCATAGTCTGTGGAAACTTAACAGTTAATCAAGGCGTTTTAATTTGAGTGCTGTGGCTCTTCTTCTCATATTTGTGCCCCTGCCCCAGAATACACCAGCTGGACTTTATAGTAGCAAATGATGTAATGGTTTGAAAAAGTGACAGGCAGGGTAACATTTCATCTCAAACCCCCAGAAAAGCTGTTACCATGCTGAACACAAAGAGAAGTCCTTTCTTCCTAGTAAACAAGATATACCAAACAGTTTTATTACAGTACTCTGGTAGATACTGCATATCATGGGAAAAGAATTGCTTTGCTAACTGCCAAAGCTTTAAGTCCAATTTTGAAAAGATGGAAGCAAGTATCATGTTTCATTTATTCGGAAAGGATGCCACGGCACTTTATGACTTTTCACACCTCTTCAGGATTTTGTTCTGTTCTTTGCCTACCAGCAAATTTATCAGGGCTGTGCAAGTAGAGAATACAGAAATAGTTCTGAATACTGTTGAGAGAAAAAGATTGTGATCAGTGGTTCACAGATGATCTTAAGTTGCCTGCAACATGTATGGATTGTTGTATGTACATTAAAAGAATATATGATAGCATGGTGACTTACAAAGACTTATTGAAAGCTATTTTCTATGACCTGCGTGCCTGACCATATTTTGCTCCTCCCGAGTAAATTGTTCATTCAGGCAAGTCCACTTCATTTATTTCTTTAAACAATAGTTGGAGATGTTCATACAGAAAACTCTAGGCACCCACAGAGTTAACTAGGTCCAGAATTGTAAATTATGGCCACCCAGCAACAAAAAATCATATACAAATAGTGAATCAACTTGCTCAGCCAATAAATCAAATCCATAAAAACTTACCCAAGGGTTCTACAACATACCGCCAAGTATTCAGTATAGCTGTGTACACATATATATACTTATCCTAAGACCGTATTTTATATACCTATGCGTGTCGTGTGTGTATGTGTAAATTTCTGTATGTATAAATCCATACCCGTCTGTCTGTGTTAAGAGATACTTTTATATATGTGGGTGGTTCATTTACTTTTCACAGAAATATGCTATGTAATATGAGAAAGAATGAAGCCGTGAAAGAAGTGCTTGGGAAGTCCAAATATAAAGGTGACTGGCATTTTTTTTTACTTTCTTTTAGCTCCTAGTTTCATTCTATTTAATAAATGAAATCTGCTCTGTTGCAAAATAATTCTAAAGCAAACTTAAATCCATAAGAAAATGAAATTTAGACTGCAGAGTGAAATACCGACCTCTGTTTGCATAGCCAGGGTTTCTGTAGATGTAATATCACAAATTTCACATATTGCAGTCTTCTACAGTACAGCATACATAATATCACATTTTATTTAAAAGAAATGTGATGGGTATTGTGATATTAAATGTGATATTAAATGTGATATTAAATGTGATATTAACCTGTCAGACACGGTCTTTGCTTTAAAAGTGTACCATCTAATTATAAACGACAATGAAACAGTTAACAAACAACGCGTGTACAGGCAATTGTAATTAATAGCATCACCAATGGTAGATACAAGTAAAATGGAGCTTTTATTTCTTAGTTAGGAAACACAGAGTTTGCTCATTTCCCTCTGTGCAGTCTAGCATCCTGAAACAGGTTAATATATCCGTATTACGACTCATCATTGCAGCACAGACCATAAGGCATGGAATGTCAGCAATAGAAGACAACTTTGCAGTCTTAACGAAGTTGAGTAAAAAAGAGTATAAATTAATACCTATTTTAAATTTTTATTTAAAAATGTGTATCTTGTTCCAAGCCTTGTGAATCCCATGTATTCTTCCCTACCTAATATAGCATGCTTAAATATCAGACACTAGACATCAAAACGTGTTTGGAATAGGTCTTCGACAATGATTAAAGTTTGTTCTTGTTCCACTTCAAAGTTCAGACAGAGGAGTCTGTCCCGCTTTTGGTTCCATTCTCTGGGACCCCAGGAGGGTACGTGCTGCCTCCTCCAGATCAAACACACAAAAAATTCTATTTGAAAGAAGTTTAAAACATACTTTCAAGTGGTCTTCCCGTGCCATAAATCTGTCATGACAAAGTGCAAGTCAATTGTTCCCCCCTACCATACAGATCAACAAAACAGTCTTGCAATGATGACAGGCCTGAAAGTAGAGTCTGTAAAGGATGGTGCAAAATGCATAGGAAGACAGCTTTATTTAGAAAGAAACAGCATTTGAGG